TGTGTATAAATGAAAATATATGTATGTTAAAATTGAAATATTACCTAGATGTTTTAGAGATTTGAGAAACTTAGAAGTAAAATTGACAGTTTAATATTTACTGATTACTGAAAGTCAAAATTTGAAAGAAAATATAAGATATGTGCTTACTGTGAGATGTATGGTGGCAAGTTCCATGTTCTTCCCAAGTCGGTGATTTGCTTTGTGAATCTTATGAAATCTTCCTTGAGTGACCAGATTGGAGATTTTCCTAGGATAGAGCGTTGTTGCAAATTGGGGTTGATCTTTCCTGTGTTCAGCTTGACTTCACTTAAAACTTTATTGATTCAGCACGCTGAAGCGAAGTTTATTTGAATTTGGTTTCATTTCCACGACTTTTTTATTACTATTTTCTTATCGCCAAAGAGCATGTTCAGACGTGCGCCAATTTTTTCCAGCAACTGGAAATTTGGGACTAAGACGTTAGTTTTTGGAGACTATAATTCTGTTGTAGTCTAACTATTTTTCTGCTCTATCTTTTATTTACTAATTTTTATTTTGTGTGTGTGTGGAGGTAAGAGTTTGGGGCCGTAATGTTGTCAATTTCTTTTTCTTAATATAATTACATGGTGACTGTAATGTTGCCTTCTTCCTTAATTACGTAAATTTCTTGTTATACAGAGCTCTTCAGAAATTATTTGAAGCAAATACGGGAAGAAACGAGTGGAAGATTATTGAGCGTAGCATATCGACCCAATGGGACACCCAACAAATGGTGGTTGGCATTTGCAAAGAGGAAGTTTATGAACATTATTGTACCTTGAAATATACATGTTAATGATGCTACTTCAAGCGTTAATATCGTGGCACGTTTGATCTCGTACATTCGGAAATAATGGATAGGAATAAACAAGAGAGAGTTGTAAGATGTTTGTGCCTTGGTCAACGTCTCATGTTCTAGAAAGTTCTTTAGTTGATACACTATGTTCAACAAACTTCGTCGGAACAAGTGTGGTACAAAACAGATTGTACTCATTAACTCGTCATTGTTTTGTAATATTTTGTAGCTGCTGTTTAACTTGCTTTGGTAGTATGAATATGAAGTTTGTTAGCGAACAAATCATAAGAGTAAGCTCGATCTTCAAATAATTTGATTGTTTTTTGATTGATTTGGGTTCGAGTCCCTTTAGGGGATAAGAGTAATTAAAAAAAAAAGAAAAAAAGAAAAAGAAACCAACAAATTAGACTGGAAGTGGATGGACTCTGAAGAAATTGAGGGATTTTAGTTCAAAAAAAAAAAAAAAAAAAAAAAAAGGTTATGGGGGTCAATGTGACAAAATGAAAAATATTCATGGACATCTCTGCAAGTTACTGTGGATGCTCATCAAACAAGGCCATTGACAGGCTCTGTTGACAAGTCGAGATGTTGCCAACACCTCGACCCTTGATTGTGTATGCACTGGCCCCATGAAATTCAAAATCAAGGGCCGAGGTGGTCTAGGTTTTGTAGCAGAGCTCCATGATTAATGCACACGTCACATATTTATTTTTCAGTTACGCTACTTCTATATTTTTTTTTACAAACTTGGTTGACAATGCAGTCTTGACAACACTATTTTTTAAACCAATGATCAGGTTTCGATAACATCATTGTTATCAATCACATTTATCAACAATTGTACAAATACCTATATTCCTTTGTCTTTTTGTTTCGGCCCAAAATTCAATGCCCGAATATGGGCGCCCATAGGCCATAGCAGTTGATCAGATCTGCCCGAGATCTGCAAATCGTATTTCGCCATGTGGAAGAACCTACGGCCTCATATGGCCCCTTCTGCCGACGCTTCCACGCCTCCTATCCTAACCAAGCAACCAAGAATATCTGAGACAAACTAACCGCAACTGATTAATTCTAGCGTACGCCTCAGTTCACGCTCTAAGCTAAACTGCGCTCTATATATAGTTAGCGCCAGGCCATTACGGCACTCTTCTCCCCCTCTGGATTGGGAAGCGAAATAAGTCTTCCCGTGAGATTTCAGGTGCCTAATACTCTCTCATTGACCATACAAAGAATACATATGCCATCGTATTAGTGCCAATAGCTGTTTAATTGAATTATTTATTTGATAAAATGATTGGAAAATGAAGCGTTCATTTGATAAAATGAAGTATTATGATTGGAATGTGTTTTTGGCTTCGTTGTTCAGATTCTAAGTCGTGTTGTGCTTCGTTAGGAATCAATTTAAGTCGTTGTGTTTGAGCCACTGAGTATAGGAAATACTAGATTATTTGGATCGGATGTGAATGTATTAATGTACATTCTGTGGACGCCTCGCCTGCTTATTTATTAGAAAATATAGTGATTTACAAGCGAATGTAACACGTTTTCAATTGCTTGGTGATTCTTAGATACTTTTGATGAACTTTTTGGGATCAAAGAATATATGTTGAAGATTTACAAATTGCGTCCCCTGCCTATTTATGTTGATGATCTTGTCTTGTCATTGGATGCAGTGGATTGTGTGATTTATGTCGATTGATCATGTTGAAGAATAAGGGGAAAGAATTGTTGTTTGTTCAGTGGTTGCTTTTGTCATTTGTTCTATTGAGCTGCATAAACCATGCCCATGCTGGTGTGACAAGTGCATTTGTGCGTCATGAGTGGCCATCAGTTGATATTCCACTTGACAATGAAGCTTTTGCAGTTCCTAAAGGTTACAACGCACCACAACAAGTAAGTTTTAATATCAATGAAATGTGCGATCCGTTTTCTGTTTGTCATTCTAACTCAGATTTATTCTAGTTTCACTTTTCTGCCTCATTGGCACAACTGGTTCTGAGAATATTGTTAGGAATGAATGTAAAGTGCATCTTTGTTAAATATATTATTCACTCAGTGCAAGGCGAAGTATTATGATATATAAGCATACATAAAGATACGGCATTCAGCGATTTGGATTATTTGATCAACTAGTAAAATCCTCTATAACTCCAGATACGAAGACTGATGTCTATTAGATAATTTCCTGGCAAAATTGGTGATTAGTTGTCAATCAAATAGCTTTTATTGCACAAAGACGAGATGTTTTACACGTTTCTATGATGCTTCGCTGACATTAATCTTCTTGTGTAGGTGCACATTACACAGGGTGACTATGATGGGAAGGCTATTATAATCTCATGGGTAACAACTGACAAACCAGGGTCCAACCAAGTCCGATATGGAATGTCAGATGGAAAGTACGATTTTACTGCAGAGGGGACCGTGCAAAATTACACCTTTTACAACTACAAATCTGGATATATACATCAGTGTCTTATAGGTGGTCTTGAGGTATAAGAAACGAGTTGTGGAATTGGCTATAACATCATTCTCTCCACTCTTGTCAAATTGAAAGTGGTACTTGACTCTTTAAATTATTAAAAGAAAAAAAAAATAGTGCAGAAATAAATGGTTGAAGTCAGATAATATACATAATTCCTGGATATCGGTGGTCAATGGAAAATAAAATGTACATAACACTCTTCTTATCGTCTGTTATACTTTTTTTTTTTTTTTTTGCTTTTTCCTGTTCCCGTCCTTTTCTTCATCTGTTCTGTGCCTTAGTTTTGTCTTCATTCTTTTCAGTATGACACTAAATATTACTACGAGATTGGGGATGTCAATTCAGCCAGGAAGTTTTGGTTTCAAACACCACCAAAAATTGATCCAGACGTTCCTTACAAATTTGGAATAATAGGTGAGAAACATATGTTTCATTCTCTATTTTGAAGAAAAACAGCTTTATATCATGATAAAATAAGCAGCATTGTTTCTTGATATTAGATGTGTGCTTGTTTTATGAGATCCAAGAGAACAGTGTTGCAAATTTCAAATTTGAAATGTAAAATACAATAAATAAAAATCTGAGAGCTTTTTCAGTTTAATGATGAAAAGCATAGGTATATTTGAGCATTTCCCTATTTGTCGTTTTTACTGTTCATATCATTAAACTTAGCTAGCTTCAATCAAAAGATAAGTTTACTGTCTATCTTTTAAAGAAGAATGATTTTTCATCAGTTGAGAGTGGAATGATTTTTCATCAGTTGAGAGTGGACCATTAAGTTTCCTCCAAAACCAGTTAAATTTTTATAATGTAGTACTTTCCATGGACTGCACATAAGCCAGGATATGATTGATTGGGACAAAATCCTGAATTTTGAACATAGTCATGTGTATTACATTCATATGTTTCCTTTTTGACCATATGGAGCAAAATGATTCACGTCCCCCAGATTTATTAAGAAAAAGGCTCAATTTGTTGTTGTTGAAGATGATGCAGGATATCAGTTATGATATTATTTGCTCAGATGATATGATGACTGAGATAGAGAGTTGCTTAAAATTGGAAATTTTGATATTGTTTAGTAATTTTTAATGATCTATGAAACTGAAAACTGAAAATGTTTGTAGGCACACAGAATTAATAGATTCTTTGCAAAACTCACGGTGATCATAAGGGAATTTACCATTTATTCTAAATGGAACAACCTCTTTGCAGAACGTCTCTATACTTATTTTGATTGGAATTTTTTTTTTAAATTCCTACTGTTTCAGATATTATACGTGGTAATATCTTTCCACTTCATTATGGGGTCTGTATTTACGAATTTTATCAATTTTTGCTTAGGTGATCTTGGTCAAACATTTAATTCTCTGTCGACCATTCAGCATTATATGGAGACTGGTGCACAGACTGTCTTATTTGTTGGAGATCTTTCTTATGCTGATAGATATGAATATCATGATGTTGGTGTCCGGTGGGATTCATGGGGTCGTTTTATTGAACAAAGTGCAGCATATCAGCCATGGATTTGGTCAGCCGGAAATCATGAAATAGAGTACATGCCCCATATGGTAACAGTGTAGAGATAAATAAATTCCAATTTTACTCCGGGGGGTGGGGAGGATTAATTTTCCAAGTATTCTTATTTTATTTCTTACCGGCATTTCGTAGTTTGGTCCATTTTGGAGCTAATGTCTTTTATGCGTCTCTTGAGAATGTTTTCCTTATGACAAGAACTTTACCTGTCAAATGACTTAAATCTTAAATTGGGTGTATATAAGATAATTACTTCTTTCTTTTGTGCTGATCTCAATGACACTTTATGTTCTTGCTTCCTTCATTGCTGTATACCACGTGCAAGACATGGAAAACTAGAGACCTAATTTCTTGTAATTTGAAACAAATTTCTCTTGCATCAATAGTTGGATAATATGAACAGCTAAAAGAAGGAGGCATTTTTCCGTGCATATCTTTGATTATTTTTGCTTTGCTCGGCTTTTGACTACTGTGTTATGTTTTTCCTGTTCAGGGAGAGATAATTCCCTTCAGAAATTATCTTCATAGATACCCTACACCTTATCTATCTACCAAAAGCAGTAGTCCTCTGTGGTATGCCGTGAGACGTGCATCTGCTCATATAATTGTCCTGTCCAGCTATTCTCCATTTGGTATTTCTATTATCAACACGTGTACTTTCTTTTATTTCTTTTGTTTTGGAGACATGACACATTGAATGTTACTATTGAAGTATTCTTACGAATGAAACAGCTATCTTAAAAGAACATTAGTGCAAATAAATGGTCATACCTAGGTCTTTAAGAATTATTTTCCCTTTTGTCTTTTCTCATGGTTCTCTTCTCGGGTTGGAAATTTAGCATATGTTTGGAAAGTGTACACATTTGCTAAAAGTCAAACTACTTTTAACACACAAATATCACCCCTTATCGATTACTAAGTTCTATTTCTTTATAAACACAACTGTTGATAAACACTTGCCAAACATATGCTTAATGTACCAAAGCATGTTCACTGAAGTTTCGTGGTTGATATCTCCACAAATTCCTTTATTCTCTATTGCTTTTCAGGTGTAGTGTACAATATCAACTGGTCAATTATAACAAGTAAATATGCTGAGCAGAAACACAGTCTGATCTCAGTTTGACTTACCTGGACCTTAAACTATTATCACAGTATGACAATAGAAATGATATCTACAATTTTAATGATGGGTTCTTATTGTCTGCAAAGGTGCTGACTTTAGGTATGGTAGGCTCACTGTTTAAGTAGATGTAGATGATTTCGAAGATGTATGTATAAATCTGTATGCCACGTGGAGTTCTGAGTTTTTATAGATAGAGTCTCCAGTTGAATGGTCTTTGCGTTATTTTCGTTGTCTTTTCTTCAATTCTATACCTACTTAGTTTTCTTATTTCTCCACCTCATGGCAGTAAAATATACACCTCAGTGGAGGTGGCTTGCGAAAGAATTGAAAAGGGTGGACAGGGATAAGACTCCTTGGCTTATCGTCCTGATGCACGTCCCAATGTACAATAGTAATGATGCTCATTTCATGGAGGGGGAAAGCATGAGAGTAGTATTTGAGAGCTGGTTTTGCCACTACAAAGTTGACATCGTCTTTGCTGGTCATGTCCATGCTTATGAAAGATCAGTAAGCCTAATTTTTAAGTCTTCCCTACCCCACACGCACCAAAAAAATGAAAATAAATAAATGAACAATGTTACGTACTCCTACGGTGTCATTGGATATTGCAAGTGGTATCTATCCCATGGAGCTATTGCAAGTGGTATGTATATCCCATGGAAACCTTTTTCCGTACATATTTTTGAGTCCGGTGTCCTGCTAAGTAATGATGGTTTTCAAGTTAAAGATGTCTAACCTTGAGCCATTCTTGGATGAACTAATAGAGTAAAACCCGAACATTCCATCATAGATTTTCAGTCCATCCGGAAAAACTAGAATAGTGGAATGTTTCTTTTCAACTTTAAACCCATATGTGCTTGGTGGCTATGTCTAGACTCAAAATGTGTATAATTATATGCATTGAGGTGTCTACTCAAAGCCTATGAAAACAATGCTCACATTTGATTTCTGCCGTGTTTCAATGATGCACTGCAATAGTTCCTCTTTTGTTGAGTTTAAGTTGTACTCTTCTTCATCTCAGTATCGTGTCTCCAACATACACTACAACATATCAAGTGGTAGTCCCTTTCCTGCACCCGACAAGTCGGCTCCTATCTATATAACTGTCGGTGATGGAGGAAATCAGGAAGGTCTTGCGCAAAGGTAAAGCTTTTTCTTATTAGAAAACCATCCATGATACTTGGTTTTATAATAACAAAAATGTAACGCATCTGCAGATTTAAAGATCCCCAACCCGACTATTCTGCTTTTCGGGAAGCCAGTTATGGCCATTCTACATTGGAGATTAAAAACAGAACACACGCAATCTACCATTGGAACCGAAATGATGATGGCAAAAGAGTACCGACAGATTCATTCGTGTTACACAATCAGTACTGGTAAGCATGCTTTCAGACAGTAGCTAAATGCTGAAATTTCTCGGACTCATTGAAACAGAAGGATTAAAATTTCTGTCCTAAAGTTCATTAGAACTTGGATACTTCTGTTATCTTCAGAACTGTACCTATGAGGAAGAAAATTGGAGTAGTTACTTTTAACAATCTTCTGCCATCAAATGTTCACACTTTTTCAGTTTAACTAAATACAAAACATGAAATATTTGGAACAGTATAATTTTCCTTTTTCTTTTTGTTATTCAAAAGCATATCCAAAAGAAAGCACAATTCTGAAAGGTCAGAATCTCATTCCATAGGCCACCATGAAAGTGTACTAGCATATAATCGAGTTTCATGACTTATTATGAAGATTATGTAAAAACATGAGTGTGTGGTGATGCAGGGGACAGAGTCGACGGAGAAGAAAACTGAAGAAAAACCATCTGCACTCAGTCGTCAAGAATTTACCGCGAAGTGAGAGGTTATGAATTCACATGCTTTTCGTCGGGATAAGCTACGGCAGTTGTCCCGTCAACAGATGACAATTCTTTCTACCATCAGTGATGAGTCTGTTGCTTATTTGCAAGTACCGATGTATTCTTCATTGATCATGTCTGAGAAGGACATTAATTGGAATGTGCTACAATGTTGTAATAAACTTACGATGTCTTTGTTGAAATGTGCAACAATGTTTGAAATAAACTTGCCCATTTGTGTTTTCTTTGACATTCAAGAACGAGTAAGGGGATAAGCTTTTATGGATTATCAGAAAAGAGAGAGAAAAGGAAAAGAAAAGGAAAGAAAACAAAAATTAATGTATACTAATATGCTTGAAACAATTACTTAGGCCCTGTTTGAGCTCCATTATTTTCCCATTAAAATGAAAAATATGATCGTTATCCATCACATCAAATCATTATATTTGACTTTTTACCTTTTGTATGGGGTCCATAACGATTATATTTTGGGTAATTGGCGCAAAACATCCTTACCTTTCGAGGTTATTGTGGAAAACGTCCATACATTTCATTTTTTGGCATTTTTGCCCTTATTTACCACCTTTCTTGCGATGAAGGTCCTTTTCACTGTTTTTTGACGATTTTGCCCTCTATTCAAATAAAAGAAAAAGAATAGAATAGAAAACAAAAGAATTAATTGCAACTAATACCCCAAAATTTCAAAAAATTACAAATTAGTAATAAATATATGAGTTAATAGCCCAAATGGTTACTAAACTTTGCCAAAGGTCCAAAAAGGTCATTGAACTTTTTTAAATACAAAAAGAAAAAAAAATCAAAAAAACCAACAAAAAAATTGAAGAAACGGGCCCCACCAACAAAAAAAAGGACCAAAAATAATAATAATAATAAAAATAAAATAAGGAATGTGAAAATGGAGGAAGGTGAAAAGTAAACCAAAAATTATTTTTTATTTTTTCAATCGTACATTTTTAATCAAAATTTATTGAAAATTTTATTTTTAGCAAAACTAATCTGTATTTTTTTTCTTTATTTTTAAAAATAAAATTTTCAATAAATTTTGATTAAAAATGTATGATTGAAAAAATAAAAAATAATTTTTGGTTTACTTTTCACCTTCCTCCATTTTCACCTTCCTTATTTTTTTGTCCTTTTTTTGTTGGTGGGGCCCGTTTCTTCCATTTTTTTTTGTTGGTTTTTTTGATTTTTTTTCTTTTTGTATTTAAAAAAGTTCAATGACCTTTTTGGACCTTTGGCAAAGTTTAGTAACCATTTGAGCTATTAACTCCTATATTTATTACTAATTTGTAATTTTTTAAAATTTTGGGGTATTAGTTGCAATTAATTCTTTTGTTTTCTATTCTATTCTTTTTCTTTTATTTGAATAGAGGGCAAAATCGTCAAAAAACAGTGAAAAGGACCTTCAGCGCAAGAAATGTGGTAAATAAGGGCAAAAATGCCAAAAAATGAAAGGTATGAACGTTTTCCACAATAACCTCGAAAGGTAAGGATGTTTTGCGCCAATTACTCATTATATTTTTCATTCTCATTTTTACAATAATGTGGCTCAAACGGGGGCTTAAAAGTAAATTTGACTTTTAAATTTAGCTAACCATGTTTTTCTCCACTGTTGCAAAAACAAAACATATAAAAATAAAGTTGGAGTATTCTCCACTCATCTATTTTCTCCTCATGTTCTCTCCATTCCACTAAAGAACATACCATGATCTCTCCATTTGATAAATTTATTAATGGTTATTAAATACCAATAGTAAGAAAAATAATAGTGAATTTCATGAAATACGTGGATAAAAATGAGTAGTAGTTTGAAATTAATATTTAATTTTGATAGAATCTATAAATCAATTTATAAATTATCTCCAAACGTGGCTTAAGCTCCTATGTTAATTGGATGAGTCATATTTGGTGTGAACAAGTCCCAGTACATTCAACGCATGCAGAACTTAGTAGTAACACTGTAACAGTTAACATTATGCTTATTTTAAATGGTTGAATACCAGCTTGCTCATTTCTCTAAGTTAGAGACTAACATACAATTCAGTCAAAAGGTTGAAGACCAACAATGCAACTTTTGAAATTACTACTCTACTCGTTTATGTGCAAAAAAAGTCCTGTCATATATTTATTTACTAATTACTTTTCACTCAAGTTAACATTTTCTTCAATAGCTTCCTTGTAATCATATTGCAGTAATAATTTGATTCTCAATAAATATTGAGCTCAGATTAAAACTAATCAAAAGTAAATACTTAAACAAACACTTTTATCCTTAGAACCAAGCAGTGGGTTCCGAACGAGAATAGATACAATCATATCTCATCTATTGACACATCAAAAAGTCTAGAGTGTAATTGGTCGAGTGACAACTATTACATTCTTAATAGAGTAGGGCGTCAACCTGTTATTCTATGGTTGTAGATAATTATTTTCTCAATCAACATAAAAAATAATATACTCTTTACTAACTACACACTTTTATATTTCACTCATTAATCAAATATGGGATGCTCGGGCATTGATCGAGAAGGATGTTGTTTTCTGATGCGCGTCAATACTATTAGCCACTGCTCTTATAATAGACACAAACTCAACGGCAAAATCCATTTCGCGTAAGAGTTTGGAACCCAACGCCTCCCTTATCTCTCCAATCGAGCAGCAGATCAATCAATCTTTCATACCTTCCCTCTTGTGTTTGAACTTGACCTATTTATGCATACTTAAACTATAATGCACTTTTCTCTTTTCTAGAAATAAACAAAATTCTATTATTTATCTAATAACTTTAATAATGTTTTGTATATTAAGAGGTATATGACAACATCAATATTATCTTTTGATTATTCTATTCAATTTCTTATGAAACCAAAATTACTTAATTTATTCTCAACAATAAAACGTTAAAGAAAAAGAGACAAGACCAAACAAAGATAGATATATGTAGTATTTTTTTGTAGATTTTAATTTTTCCTCTTAATAATATTTAAGTAAATATTATCTGTCATTTTTAATGCTACCTGTTTTTTAAGTGTGGTCCAAAAATACCTGCCAAATTTTTTATATTAATTTATGCAAAATGCTGACGTGGTGTTTGGATGGAATCAGAAAGAGAAACTTGTCACCAGACATAGGACAAATTCCAGTAAACGAAAAATGAACAAATAATGCCATGTTTGAGCCACATTTTTAAAAAAAAAATACATTCTTAAATAGTGATTTGACATAATTTCAATAACATATTTTTTAATAAAATAATATTATACACAAATTCAAAATTTTTCTTTATTTTTTAACTATACATCTTCCATCAATACACTATTTAAAAATACATTCTAGAGAAAATAATGTGGCTCAAATAAGGGCTTAAGTCTTAAGGATGTCCGTGCCAAAAAAAAAAAGTTGGGATTTTCCCCCAAGTACGGGGAAAACTTATAGAATTTATACAGGATTTTGAAATGGAAAAATCCTGTCCATTTGTGCTTTATATTTTTTTTTCTATTTTTGAATGATATTTTGAAACCCGTGTTTGTGAAAAATTTTCTATGCAAAAACCCTATACTTATAGCATAACCCAAAAAGTTGAGAATAGATAAGATATTACAAAAATGTTGGTACGAAAATTAACAAAAACTCGAAATTTTATTTTAAATGAGTCTTGACTATATCTAGATCGGATCTTGACAAGATTAAACAATAATTTGCACTCTAATAATATTTCATCTTGATTTCCATCATCAACAAAAAGATCATTCTATTTAGATTCCATTATGATTATGGGAATTTATGATTAGGTGGAAGAGTGATCTAAAATTTATCCACCTCATAAATTGAATTTGGAAGTATAATTGTGATTTGTTCTTTATTATTTTATTTAAATAGAATGGTAAATTTGTCATTAAACAGCTTTTAATTGAGAGAATGTATGAAAATGATGATTTCGCAATATAATGTGAAAATAATGGTGAAAATGTCAAAAAATAAAATGTATGAACGTTTTGCACAATAATATGGAAATGTAGGGACCTTTTGTGCTAGTTACCATTTTAATAATTTATTTGGACCATTTGCAGTTTTTAAAAAAGTTTGGTAGTATAATTACAATTTGTTTTTAATTTTCTTCTTTTTTTTGAAAAAAAATAAATAAGAGGATATATTTGTCATTTTACATTCTTTTCTATTGAAAAAACGACCTTTGCTGCAAGGAAAGGGGAAAACGCCAAAAAATAAAAAATAAGGACATTTTGCACAACAACATTGAAAAATATGAACGTTTTGTGCTAATTTCTTTTTTTTACCACCCTTGACCATTTACACTTTTGAAGTAAAGATTGGACATGTTTTGCTTTTGAGACACCTCATAGGTTAAATTAACCACAATTAATAAAGACGGGTATCTAAAAAAGCAAAAGACTATCGTAATATTTTGTAAAGTAAATATATCATATGATTCATTAAAATGAACGTATCAAGCGTGACCACCTAGATTGATAATTTAGTACCACCAATTTCAAATAGCGTAATTCTATCTACTATTCATATCATGACACAAAATCAAATACAAATTTGTTGTAATACAAATTCTTCTTGTTTAAGGAAAGTGTTTTAAGGGTCTCTTTTCAATTTCAATATACTAAAAATTTTATCATTCACACGTATCTGCTTGATAAGCTTTTAAAAGACACTTTTTAAGTAAAGCCAGGCTCTTTTTCTAAAATACACACTAGGCCCATGTTTGGGAGTGATTTTTCACTCCAAAAATTTAATTTTTTTAATTGTTATTTTACTATTACAGTAGCAATTTTTGACTTCTTCTCTCACAGCCGCCCTCACTTTTCTTTTAATAATAAAAAAATCAATTCTCAAAATCACAACCGAACATGTCCTAAATCTACTATCGAATCTAAAATAACTCCATGGTTACAATTGCAATAATCCTTATCTTCTAGTTAAAAAAAAATGTTGAACCCCAACTTTGAAGGCCCCCATCGCCCGACCCTTAGAGATTTGTGAGGGAGGTAAATTGCGAGATGTGCCTTAGTAGGCCAGAAAACAATAGCTGTCTGTACACTGCGCTTACAAGGAGTTCAATTTCATGTTTCAGGAATCGAACCCTCAAATTGCGACTGCCAACAAAACGTGAGATAGTCTCACTCCTATCCTTTGAACCACTGTACTAAATCCCGACGGGCCCTTACCTTCTAGTTTACACTTACACCACGTTGCTCTTGTGTGTCTTTGATTACCTAAGTAGTTATTTCTCTAATTATTATCAACCACACCACCTACATGTAATGTTTTAAAATGCGCATATATGCTTGATGCTTTTTTCAAAACACATCCTTAAACATCAAAGTACACATGCATTTTTGTTAAAAATTCTGTCAAAATTAGCCTAAAAATGCCCATCCCATTTTTTAAACTTTTTTTTTTAAAAAAAAATGCAAATTGAACCAAATAAATACAAAATTATCCCTAACCACCCAAGCCTATGAATTATACATTAATCCGTAGGATTTTGACGTTCAAAAAAATAAAAAATCAAAACAAATTTTTCATAAAGTTGCAAACTATCTACATTGATCTTGAACCTCTTTCTTCTTCAGTCTTTCTCTAATTTTACTAGGAAGTGATGATAGTAATGCACAAGTTTGAATTGCTAATGATTGTGATTTTGAGGAGGAAGTTGACAATGATATTTTACAATTTATAAGAGGTAATAAAAATTCTCGAGTTGAAATAAAGTAATCCGATAAAGATGATTTTGTATTTTATGACACAAACATGACTTGGATGAAAAATGGACGATTAAATTGGAATCGATAAGAGTCAGACAAGATTTATGTTTTTTTAAGCTGTAGTTCTTGTCTAATTTAATTACTCGAACTGATTACTAAGTAATTGGAGTATTTATGATTTTGGGTAATATATTTTTGTTGAAAATTTGAAAAATATGTATAAAATTTAAGTAATTGTACTATATATGATTTTGACCAATTTGTTTATTTATTATTAAAAAATTTGAAGAATACACATAAAGTTCACGAATGTAGTATTTTATTTATGTATTAGTTTAAAATATTTAAAATAATATTAAAAATTAGAAAATGCATAATTATGTATATGTTTCACATAGACATATTCTTGCTTGTAATGCTTTGATACTCGACGGTGACACATTGCCACGCATAACTCGGAACCTTGCCTGCACGAATAATTAAAAATAAAATAAAAATAAAATATGCTATCCAATAATTGTTAAATGTGAGACTGAGACGATTCCTCTCCAGATTCTTGTAAATTGTAATTGTAACTGTCTTTCTTCTCTCTTCAACGATCACCAACTCAAAATTTATTATTCATTAAATCGCTCCAATTCTCTCTTCTTCCTTTTTTCGCTGTAAATTCTGATGTCGACGGAGATTCCAAATGCGTCGGTTCCGGCGACGGCGGCAGTGCTGTATGAGCCGCTGCTTCAGTATCAACGGCAGGAACAGCAGCCGCCACTGGAGCTGCAGCGATCGCAGTTTAATAATACTTCGCAAGTTGCAATTGTTGGGTCCAATCTTTGCCCAATCGAAAGCCTCGACTATGAGTACAAACTTTGCTCTTTCAGTTATACATACACATCTCTCTCTCTCATCTCTATATATACACGTGTGTGTGGATGGGGGTGATATATATGTTCATTGCATTATTAAAAGGAGCATGGATGCTTAGGAGGATCTGGCGAGTGAGTTTTATGTAGTGCAATGACTGCCGCCGTATATATTGAACGCATTGATAATTGACTTTTTTAATTAGCTTATGATTTGTGTTTTGATTGATGCGTTCAAATGAAAATTAACATTTTATCTCGTACTGAAGTGGAAAAATCTCAAAAAATTTGTGGAGTATGATTTTTGTGCTGGAAGAGAAAATGGAAGGCAATTGACTACCTCTGCTTTGTTTTGCTAGTAATTCTATAGTTACCTTTTTTTGTCATGGCAACTGGGAAAGAGAACTTATATATATATTCTTCCATTTCATTTCAGGATTAATTCGACTGTATAGTTCGGCTGGTTTCTTTGAGAAGTCCTGAAAATTTTTAGCCATACAAGTAGGCATTAGTTATGTTCCTCAGGAATTATTGCAAGCAATTGCCTCTGATCCTAATAATTTTTTTCCCCCAATTATATTTGGTAAATACATTTAAAGATTTTGCATTGAGTAAGAAAAATGAAGGATGTAATACGACCATGCTTAGGTGTATGATTTCTTCCCCAATTTACTGATAATAGGAGAAAAATGACACTTACTTTCTTGTCTTCTTGGCCTCTTGTCTTTCTAATCTGACAACTATTTGCAATCTAAATAAATGAATCTTTTCTATGTAGGCTTATCGAGAATGATTTTTTCAAGCAAGATTGGAGGAGCAGAGGGAAGATCCAGATATTTCAATACATTTTCACAAAATGGATGCTGTGTTTTCTTATTGGACTTATTGTCAGCCTCCTTGGATTCTTCAACAACCTTGCCATTGAAAACATTGCTGGCAAAAAATTCGTTATCACCTCCGACATGATGTTAGCCCGAAAGTAAAAGCTCAATTCTTTAAGTTCAAATGTTTGAAGTTATATTGTTTTTGTTAACTTCACTCAACTTTCATATTTTATGAATTTTTTATTTCAAAATATTTCTTTTCCATGTCAAGATGGTATTTTTCCACTCATTTTAGTTTTAGTTAAGTTATAGACTTCGCTACCACTATATTTGCCTGTTTCCTAAAGAATAAAGTTGAGTGGGGATACTGTTTCTGTACTAAATATTTAATTGGTTGTGAATTTGACGACAGGTACATGGCAGCTTTCCTAGTATTTACGTCTTCAAATCTTGGGTTGACATTGTTTGCGAGTTTGATCACTGCTCTTATAGCTCCAGAGGCTGCTGGTTCAGGCATACCAGAGGTTAAGGCTTACCTGAATGGTGTCGATGCTCCAGCAATATTTTCCCTGCGGACCCTGTTTGTCAAGGTATTTTGGAATCCAAGTCATTGGATTGCATTGCATTACCCTCTGTCAACATCTCTGTTTTTCTTACCAGGAGATTATTCTGTAGGAGAATTGCTCGATTACTCAAGAATTTTATATTAATTAGACAATATTGTGTGGAGTGGACATTCTGAGAAACAAAGGTAGGTCTTGACTTAAATTACTTTGATCCAGAACTTGAACTTCCAAGACGAACGTATAAGTAATATAATGGATTATTGGTCCCAATTACAATATTGGGGATTTGAATTTTATTATCCTAATCAAGTTAATTCAAGGAAAAGCCTTACTTGTGCAAGATTCAAGGGGCGTGTCAGTAATGCATTTATGCTTATACATTTGTATAACAAATTTTGACATGCTTCAGCTTCACTGCCCCATTCCAAACTGAACAAACTCAACTCCAATTATTCATCCTGATAACTCTCATTGGCCTACCATTTCTCATATAATTTACACTATTAATGTGCATTTCGTTGCCACCAAGCTTTCCACTTTCCATTCCCTTGACAAGGAGCATATATGCCCAGTTTTAAGTAAGGATCAAGAATTTGGAAATTTCTGTATTTGTTTTAGGGGATAAGTGTTTATATGTTAATTATCGAGTACCATAGGAGGGGCAGCTTGGCACCGAACTTTGTGAATTAATTCAAGCAATTTTTTTCTACAGTTACAGCTAGGGAGACATTAGAAGTGAGAGTATAGACAAGTAAAGTTACATGAGCATCATAAATATGGAAAGCCATCATCCACATTCTATTATCTTATTGTATCTGTCTTCGAGTTCAACTATAACTTCTATATGCCTTCAGCCTGGAGGCTGATAAAATTATATACTTACTGCACCATATTTTTTTGGTATTGGACCACTTTGAATTTTTATTTTATTTATTTATTTATTTATTTTTCCAAAGTTCTTGCTTGAGATCTGACGTCCTTTTCTTATATTTAAACTCAGTACAATCAGTTTTGAGTTTGAGGTCTTACCTGATGGAAATCTAATACACAGATTGTTGGTAGCATATGCGCTGTGTCAGCATCTCTTAATATTGGAAAGGCAGGGCCAATGGTCCATACTGGAGCCTGCATAGCTGCAATAATGGGTCAGGGAGGGTCAAAGAAATATGGGTTGACCTGGAAGTGGTTGCGAGTTTTCAAAAATGATCGAGACAGGCGAGATCTTGTAACGTGTGGATCAGCTGCAGGAATTACTGCTGCTTTCCGTGCTCCTGTTGGTGGTGTGTTGTTTGCTCTTGAGGAAATGGCATCTTGGTATAATTTAAAAGCCCATGATATTTATTTATTTTGTTTATGGTTGTTTTCAATCTCAGTGAATGATTTATATGTATTCTTAACCCCTTTGCTGCAAGTTACACAGGTGATGAGTCCTGTGTTCCTAACACTGACTCAATCTTAACCCTAGATTACGGTAAGCTTTGTTCCGCGGGATCCTATTCCTTTTCTATGTCAGCTCTCTTGTGAGCATGGTTGGTCAACGCTTGATATTCTATGGCATGATATTTCCGTTGTATAAATATATTGGCATGCATCACTAAATGATGTTAATTTCTTTGGTGATTATAAACTATGTGATATTGCAAGATTCCTTTACATGTCAGTCTATTGAAGTCGGTCACTTATGATTTTTTTCTGCAGGTGGAGAAGTGCTCTGCTGTGGAGAGCTTACTTCACTACTGCCGTTGTTGCAATTGTCCTTCGGGCTCTAATAGATGTCTGTTTGAGAGGAAAATGTGGACTATTTGGTAAAGGAGGTCTAATTATGTATGATGTCACCTCGGCAAACATATCTTATCACCTCAAGGATGTGCCTCCTATCCTCGTTCTTGGAATCATAGGCGGCATATTAGGAAGTATCTACAATTTTTTACTAAATAAGGTTCTCAGACTTTATAATTTTATAAATGAGTAAGACTTCAATTTTTACTTTTCATCCTTTGCTTCATTATCTGCTGTTATTATGTGGATCAGGTATCATTTTAGCCTGACAAGTTTTATCACTTCGAGTATTATTCACTATGTTCTTCTTTCTCCATCTCAGAAAAGGAATTGGTTACAAGATAATTTTGGCTTGCTGTATCTCCATTTTCACTTCCTGTTTTCTATTTGGATTACCATGGCTCGCATCTTGCCGTTCTTGTCCATCAGGTGCATCGGAGCCTTGTCCCACAATCGGGCGTTCTGGTAATTACAAGAAATTTCAGTGTCCTCCTGGTTACTATAACGATCTCGCAAGTCTTTTTTTCAACACGAATGATGATGCTATCAAGAACCTCTTCAGCAAAGATACAGACTCAGAGTTCCATCGCTTATCAATGCTAATTTTCTTTGTTACGTGCTTTTTCCTCAGCATATTTAGTTATGGAATTGTGGTCCCTGCGGGTCTCTTTGTGCCAGTTATCGTGACAGGTGCAGCTTATGGACGTTTTGTTGGGATGTTAATTGGTTCGCACTCGAACTTAAACCATGGCCTCTTTGCTGTTCTGGGTTCAGCTTCTCTTCTTGGGGGATCTATGAGGATGACGGTTTCCTTATGTGTAATAATTCTCGAACTGACCAACAATTTATTGTTGCTGCCACTTATAATGCTTGTTCTTCTTATCTCCAAGAGTGTAGCCGATGCATTTAATGGAAATATATATGACCTCATCATGAAATCGAAGGGTTTTCCCTACTTAGAAACTCATGCAGAGCCATACATGAGGCAATTGACAGTTGGTGATGTGGTTACAGGGCCACTACGGATCTTCAATGGCATTGAGAAGGTTGGTAATATAGTTCATGTTCTCAAAACCACGGAACATAATGGGTTCCCGGTTGTAGATGAGCCCCCACTTTCTGAGTCTCCAGTTCTATTTGGTTTAATCCTGCGAGCACATCTTATCACACTGTTAAAGAAGAAAGCTTTCTTGCGAACTCCTACACCAATTGGCCCTGATGCCTTTGTACAGTTTTCCTCTGATGATTTTGCCAAGAAGGGTTTGGGCAATGGTGATAAAATTGAAGATATAGAGTTGTCAGAGGAAGAGATGGAAATGTTCATGGATTTGCATCCTTTCACCAATGGAACACCCTACACCGTTGTAGAGACAATGTCTCTAGCAAAGGCCCTTATTCTTTTCCGAGAAGTTGGCTTAAGGCACCTGTTGGTTGTTCCCAAAGTTCCCGGGGTAAGATTTTTAACCATCAACTTTCTTACTGTTTCCAGTTCTAGTGCTGCATCTGAAGAATTTCACATGCCGATATACTTGATTAATGCAACATCTTGTTGACTGTGATTCTCCTTTTCTGGCTATTGACAGCCATCATACGTTTATAATATCTCTTTTTACAAGGTATGTTTGGCTAAGCTTAAAAAATGTAAAAGTTAATTCTAAGTAACTTTTCTGTTTCCAAACATGTTTGGGCATGTTACTTTCTTCTTACTTTTAGGTGAAAAAGTTACTTATTTCAAAATTAACTCTTACCTAATTACCTTGCCATCAAATACTAATTTCCAACTTTCACAAATGAAAGAATTTATTTAGTTTAGAAGTTATTTGACTTGTATTTTTAAACTTAGCTAAACATGCTTCGAGTTTTCTGCTTTTCCATATAATCCTGATAAAAATGGTTTTATGCTTTCTTATTGAACGACGTTCTATCACAGCTTCTTATGATGCACCACTTCTATGTGCACAAGTTGTCACCCACAAATGTAATGCATATGCATTGCAAGCGTGTTTTTCCGGTGCTTCAATGGTACTTCTAGTTTTCAATTGGTCTTATTGCTTTTTGCAGGGAGTTCCAGTTGTGGGTATATTGACGAGGCACGATTTCATGCCAGAACATATCCTGCATTTGCATCCTTCGTCGGCACGAGGCAGGTGGAAAAGGTTAAGGTTCCAGTTTCCTAGTTTGGGCAGACTTATTAGAGAATTATAGTAAAGCCGGAGTTTTGTGAATAGCCTTGTACGTGCGTGCAGAGTTCCTAAATGACACAACAATATATTCTTTTACATCTTCAATGCAGTAAAGGACCTTCATCAGAATACATCCATTTGCAGTCCGGTAAGTAAAAAAAGGAAAAAGAATTGGTTCTATAATATGAAGCAGCAACTTGAAATTCTGCTTTGTATGAAATTTTCGTAAACCAATTATCTAATAAGTTTTGAGCTTTCTACTAAGAATATCTGCCGCTGACTAGATCCCCAAGGACCGAAATTCTTGCCCAGAATACGCAAAATTAGCAAATGAATCACTTTGCAGACAATCTTAATCATGACTTCAAATAGCTTTTGACCCCATTAAAAGGCTTCAATTGTAGCATGGTTTTTCATTGTACTGAACTTGATCCTTCATCCGCGATCCAAAGTTACGCCCACTGAAGTCCCTTATTTTTTCAGTTAGGCGATTATTGTCGCAATCTTTCTTTGTATTGAACTGCGTTATATATATATATATTACATATTTGTAACTATAAGCATATCGGAAATGCATCACATTATGTTGAATTTCAGCTATTTTTGGTGCTACTACAATGATAAAGTTGGTATAGTTTCAAATTCTTTGCCGAGGTTATGAATTCTGCTTTCCCGCATATTTGGTTAAGAGTAATTATATTATAGATTATATTACTTGTATGTAAAAATGGTATATAAAGGATTACATAAAATGATGTGGAGTGAAAATACTGTATGAAAAAGTTGAATGTGTTTTAAATTGACAAATAATAAAGTGACATGTGGCATAACTTGATGTATATGTAGCAAGATTCTTATATTACTACTACAAAATCGATTGAGTGCAACACAAATAAACCTAATTTCTTCTCTCTCTCTCTCTCTCTCTCTCTCTCTGGCCCCTATTGGCATTGAAGAAGCTTTCTGAAGAAGAAGTTATATGCACACACAGCGGGGGTGTGAAGATATAGAGAGAGGGGGGGCAAAAATAGTTTGTATTTGTGAATTTAAACGCATTTGATTAATATTATTAATTATTTTTCAAATATTTCATGGAAAAATACAACTATCAAAGTAGAGTGTGCAACTTCATCATTAAATGCTTTAAACTTCATACTGCAGTTGAGCACATGTTTGTGAAATCCCTAATTCATAGCATGCGACTTCACTTGAATTGGAGGGAATTGAACGGTAGAGATGAGTCGCGGAGTGTCCGCAATAATGGAGGTGTTTTTGTTTGAATGATTGATGAAAAAATTCTGTTCGAAGCTTTCTCCTTTGTTCAGAGTAGTCTCCTTTGCGGGGATTATTAAGATTGTTGTTTTACCAATGCTGGAAAAATGTGTACACCGCATATTTATTTTTTCATTTATAATTTTTATTGTATTAGGAGATTTTTTTTTTTTTTTTTTTTAGTTTGTGTTGTATTAAGAGTATAATTGTAAATTTATCATGGTATATTTATTGAAATTATATTTTAATTATGGTGTAGTAATTAAATTTTGTAGGACTAATATAATTACCCTTTAGTTAATTGTTATTGTAGCTGTTTTCATGCTTAAACCTCAGTGCGAAATGGTTGAATAACGTTTGACCATTAAGCCCTATTTGACGATCATTATTTGAAATTTTTTTTTACGTACATATTTATTTTTCATCACACATTCATATAATAAAATATTTTACACGTAACTCAAATTTTTTTTTTAACTATACATTCTCTTAAATATTAATATTCAAAATATTGTTTTGATCAAATAATGACCATCAAACAAGGGCTAGGTTTCTTTTTCGGCAAACCCAATTCTAAATTCTATTTTTTAACTTACAAAAGTTACTTTGTTAGAAATTAAACTCTGACTTATTGTTATAAAAAAGTAACTATTAAACTTTGCCAATGTATAAAAGATCAACGAGGAGGATGGATAGTGACGATCCCAACTTTAGGGGGAAATACATGAAATTGACCCAAATACGAGAGGCCATTTTTCAAAATGACCCTTGACTTTTCCAAACATGTGAAACTACTTAAAATACCCTTAAACAAATATTAAAAACAACCTACTTCATAATAAAAATCTTCTATTTAAGTCCTTAAAAAATTAACAAGTAATTTTTCTAAAAATTTGAAAAAATTATTAATGAATAATTATAAAATGGAAAAACCCAAATATAAGAGAAGACCATATAATATAAAAAAGGTTGTTAAAAATAAAAAAGAAATTAAGTTTGAAAAAGAAATTGATAAGATAGGATATCAAGAACAATTATATGCATCACAAGAAATATTAAAATGTTTCAAAGAAAACTTATTAGAAAATTTTGCTAAAGGAATTGTACGATCAATAATCATAAAGGATATACAAGATATCATAGATAAATTAGAAAAAAGGAAAAAAATATCACCAAATACGATATACCCTTTAGAACAGACATAGATATGATAACAGATATTGATATTATAAATTCTCAAACATTATTAGACTTTGAAGAATTACTTAAAAATTTATGAGAAGACCAATAAAAATTACCACAAGCATATAAAAAATTAGTTTTTAACCTTACAATAAGATTTTATACGCTTAATAACAAATAAATTAACTAAAACAAAAAGAAAAGAATTTTTAGAATATTAGAATATTAGATTTGTATTTATTAGATTATTAGATTTTTGTTCGCTCATAGTAGCACCTATCCCGTTGGTATCAGAGCCATAGAGATCATGGGAAAGTATATAAAAATAAATTATCTAAAAGATATTGAAAATAAATAAAATTTATGATTTTAGAAATAATTGAAACTTATAAAAATAGAATCTTTAGAACTAAAAGAAGAAAAAAATATATATATATATATATATTAGGAAGAATCCAAAGTGAAATAGATTTCATAGTAATTTGAAAAAAAAATTAATTATGGAAATCATAAAAATAAATAATTATTATCAATGTATTGAAGAAAAAGGATGTTATATATTTTTCAACCCTATCCCTAATAAATTAAAAATAATAACATTATATGTAACTAGGAATTTACCTAGAGAAAGAAAGGAACAAATATTACATAAATTAATTATAGGATTTATCAAAGATAGACGTACGTATGAAATAATTATCGAAATATTTGAAAATGAATTATACCATAGAGAAATATTTGAATCAACATAAAAATATAATGGAAGAAACTAAAAATATTTAAGAAAGGAAGTTAAAAAGAATAAGATTAATAAATAATAAAATTTTGGATGAATTATTGATACCTGGAGATATAACTAAACCTCAAGAAAAACAAATATTAAAATTAAAATAAGAAATGTATAAAGAAAATGCAAGGTATTATGAAAAATTAAAAGAGCTAACAAATCTTGAAGTTATAAAACAAAAATATGATAAAATGATAAAAGAGTGTAAAAATGCTGAATGTATAACATTTTATTATTGTGAATCAAAAAATCGATAAAATGTCAATCAGTGAACATATGGAAGAATTAAAACATTTAATAAGAACATTAATAAATGATGTATAAGAAATAAAGAATGAAATAAAAGAAGCAAGAAATGATATAAATATATTGAAACTTGAAGTCAGAAAATTAAAATAAAATGAAGAAAAGAATAATAGAATAGATAAAAAATTTATAGAAAAAGAAATAACCAGAATAGGGAAAAAACATATTGAAAGGAAAAATATAATAATAGAAACAGGAAGCATGGATGATGAGTTTAGAAAAAATATATTACCTAAAATAATAGAAGAAGAGGAATCTAGAGAAAAAATGTTACGTAAACAAAAAATTGAAGAAAAACAAGACAAAGAAGATGAATGAAGGATTAGATCTACTTATAGATAATTTTGATCATTTAAGTTTAGAAAGTATAGATGATGAATACCAAATCTTAATGAATAATGGAGGAGGACCTAATCCCGTATGAACCTCTAAACAAGAATTAATAGATCCAGATGAAAGTTATGCTCCTATGTATAATAAACCATATAGACAATTTTATGATAAAATAAGAGATAAACAACCGTCCAAAGGAAATAAATATAGTAATAGATTTGAATTAAATAATAATTATGATAAACCTGTTAACCATGGAGGAACAAAATTAGACTTAGATTGCAAAATAGATACTAAGAAAGCCTTAATAATTTGGGCAGACTCAATGATATTATTATTTTTATATAATAAAGATGATATATGGGAAAATACTGAAAGGAGAATAGATTTTTTAATTGCATCTTTTGAAGGAAACGCAAGAAATTGGTGGGAAGGAATTAGTAGTGATACAAAATCATTAATAAAAAGAAATGTACAAACAGAAATAATAAAGTCAGATAAGTTAGGAATAGAAAGATTAGTATAATATATTGCAGAGGAATTCTTAGGAGAAAATTTGTTAAGAAATTATGAAGAAGAAGCAATACGAGAAAAAGATAATGCAAGAGTTAAGTTAATTAATTTAACAATTTGTGATAAGTGTAAAATTAAAGAATATACTTGTGAATTCAATGAATACTATTGTACTCAATTTTATAGTAATGAGAATCAAGAAGTATATCAAGATATGTATTATAATAAATTACCAAGTTCACGGGGAATATATTTTAAAATAGAATTTGAAAAATATACTAAAAAAATATATAGGAATACCTAGAATATTAGGATCAAGAATAAAATTCTTGTTTGAAAGACTTGCATATATATGTCGACAAAGACAATTACTGAAAAAATCAGGAAAATTAACTAGAATATGTTGTGAAGATATGGAAAAACCTACAAGATGGGAATGTAATTCTGAAAAAAAGAAATAAAAGAAAATATAAAAACAGAAAGTTTAAAAAATACAGAAACTTTAAGAAAAAATACATAAAACTTGGAAGGAAATATTATAAAAGGAAAAATAATATACACAAAAATAAACCTTATAAGAAAGATAAAAAACAATGTAAGTGTTGGAATTATGGAGAAATAGGTCATATAAGCCCTGATTGCACAAAGAAAAAAGTGAGAATATGACAAAAGGATTATTTTGAAATAGAAAGTGAATTAAGTGAAATATCTGATATTGAAAATTATAATAATCAAGAAATATTTATAAGTGAAGCAGAATTAGAAGATTATGGATCAGAAGCTGAATAGAGAAATTGAAGAAATAGAAAATAATAACACAGAAATCCAAGAATATGAGGGAATAGAAGGTTATGGATTAAAAGTGACTTTTGATAATAATAAATTTAAGAAAATACAAAAGTTATCCTTAGATTTGAAAATAGGAAAATGAGAAATTCTAGATAGAATATGGAGAAGAGAAAGAATAGCAATAAATGAATACCATAAGATTGAAAAAACTATAGATGTTAGGACTACTCAAGGAACATATAAAATAAACCTTTTAACAAAAAATACAGTATCAGAATTATTATAAAAAATAAGTAAAAAAAATAGTGAAAAGATCCAATATGTTTATTTAGCAGGAATACAAATAATGTTTAAATCCCTATTTAGGGAAGGAATAAATTCACCATTAACTGTAAGTTTACATGATGGAAGAATTATAAATCTTAAAGAT